TGCTATAAGTGCGGCTGTGGACGGATCATTCAAAATTTGGACAGAGTCATCTCTTGTTGGAGCACAGTTTAACGGAGGCATAGTCTTTTCTCATCACACAGTATTTCAGCATCTGGAATGAGACCTACAGTGAAACAGGCCAAGCACATTAGGCCAGTAGTTGAGGTCTTCATGCATCCTTTGTCCCTGACCTCTCACTGAGAGGACACACCGGTGAGCAGCACAGGCTGAGGCTCTAATTCACTTTTATTCCACTGTCTGCTGGGCCATGCTTTATTGATGAAGTCATTATCACGAAATTGATCTGTTCACGTCATAGCAACTAGTTTGCAGCCCTAACAGTGATGGTCTTCTCTCCAGCTCAGTGGTGGAAAGAGAAACAAAGAGATGCTCAAGAACTTCTTAGTTCAATCATTTTATTTGGCAGTCTATTAAAAAGTATAGAGTTAAGTAGAGAATCAACTGACTGTAATATTTATTTTATTTGAGCATTTTCCTTACTGCATTACTGCAAGGAAACTCAACATCTCCATCTACTGGACGTACATGCTCTGTGCAGCAGTTACTTTTATATTTTATATAAAAGACCAGACCACAAATGACTATTTTTATAGAAGTTCAACATTTTGTGACATAGTGTAACAAATGTGTCTCAAATTATGTAATAAAACAAACAAAACAACATAAATAAATAAATATCAGTATTGAATAGATAGCAGTTCCTACTTATTCAGTAGTGTCGAGGATATTAGTTGCTATGCGACAGCCAGTGCCAGCAGAGACCTGAGCAGTGGCCTTGGCTCAGATCCAGATGAAGGCTACATCTGTGTCCCTGCTTCTGTTAAACACTGAGGACTGTCCGGACACAAGCACAGCTGCACCTTAAAACAAAAGTTCAACTAAAAGATTTATTTGGAAAATTCATGAAAGTAAAGGGGGTCATGGATCACCCCTTTTCTTACAGTAATATTAATATTATTTCTGCCATCTAGGTTAGAGAATGATAAACCACCAAACTTTCATGCTGTAAATGCCCTGCCACACTAATTCGAAGTGTATATATTGCAAACATAAGAAAGTTCCATATGAGTCACTTTATGACACTTTGGGATGAGAGCTGATGGGCTGTGTAACTGCAGTCTGCAGTTAAAAGCTACTCTTAAACTGTATAAAGGTATACTTCACTTGATTGTCTCCATCGGGAAATTTGCCTGGGGACCCATCTTGAACTAGGCTTGGTCAGGACTACTTTAGCTGGAAGATCTGGCCCAGAAAAGGCCTGGGAGTCGTACCCCAAACCTTTTTGCTGTGAGGCATGAGTACTATCCACTGTGCAGAACATTATTTTTTTTTCAACTTAAATAATTCCACAGTTTCTGTTGACTCTGGTCTTTTAGTTTGACTGCCACCAACATTTCCCATTGTCCATTGAATTCTTATGTGTCCTGATCCGCTGTACTGCTGCCAGTAACATTTCATTCACAGAGCCCCTCTCTCCTGCTGCTACTCTGTGTGTGTGTGCCCATGTGCATGTGCCTGTGTGTGTGTGTGTGTGTGCGCGTGTGTATTTGTATGTGTGGGTGGGGGAGTGTGTATCTGTGTGTATCTGTGTGTGTCTGTGTGTGTCTGTGTGTATCTGTGTGTATCTGTGTGTATCTGTGTGTATCTGTGTGTATCTGTGTGTATCTGTGTGTATGTGTCTGGCCATGACTGTACAACAGCTGAGCTCACCGTCGCATCAGAGACTTAAACCAAATAAAAGGACTGCCGCAGGAGACCAGGTATAAGACACAACATCAGCAGTTGCCGGGCAGAATCCCTAAACTGTCTTTATTCTGTCTGTTTCAAAGAGATGTCATTTTGGCTGCATTTCACTCTTCAAATCCTCGTGTCAGGCTTGAAGGAGGCAGTTTTGACACAGTTTTGGTGCACAGATGTCTCCTTGAGTGACTCAGCCAAGAGTGTGCGTGTGTGTGCACATGTTTACCAGGCCATGCGGGGACTCAAACCTGCAGAGACAGTCAATTAGGGGGACAGGTTTTCCTATGTGGATCTGGTTTAAAAGTTAGATATGGGTTCAGCCAGTATAAGGGCGAAAGTAAAGTTAAGGTTAGACTCTAGAAATAAAGAGAGAGAGAGAGAGGATGGTGAGGAGGAGAGAGGGAAGGATAGAAAGAGAAAGAGGGAGGTGTAAAAGAGAGAGGGAACAAGAGAAAGAGGAGAAGGAGGAGAGAGAGAGAGATTTGGCAAAGGACAGGCAGTCAGATCCGTGGCAGTTCAGTTTATCCAGAGCAGGTTGAGTGACAGGCAGAAGTGTCACAAGGAATAAGGCGCCATTTTGGAGCCTGTTGTCTCTCCCTGCACTCAGTTTGATGGAACAGTGAAAGTGAAAACCTTATAAAGTTATCTGTGGGTGCTGTCCACCTGGGTCGTGCACTCTCTCATTCGACCCATCCACAAAACTAGGGCCCTCCATGTTTACTTCTAAACTAAGTGGGATTGCATTTAAATCACGTAATCCACATATGAGTATTCCTGGGTCCTAGTGAACATGTTCGCATTCATTGGTTTCTTCTTCCCATAATAGGTAACATTTTGAGGACTTTTCACCATTCAAACTATACAATATATTGTTTAAATTGTTAATTACTATGACAAGTTAGCAACAGTCCAGATTTTGCATCGCTCTGAAACCCATGGATAGAGAAAACAGAACGTCCCTTTGCGAAACACTGATATAGAATGATTTATGTGATCCATACCAAAATAATGCACATTCATTCTCCGTTTACAAATGTTTTAATGATTCTTACTGATTTTGTATTGAAAATCTACTTTTACAGTTGTCATCCACACAATGAATCTGTGAAAAAAAGTCCCCCGTTTTTGTGGAATTTCTAGTTAAACACTTAAATAAAAATAAACAGAGAGAGTTGTAATGTTTCATGGTGAATGTATTTATAACTGTACACAGATATAAAACCATCAGGCCATGTCAGTTCTGACCCTATGAGACAATGCAATGCAATGATGACACAGTATTTATTACTCAGAGACATATCACATACAACAGACATGTCAAACTCACCAAATTTGGCCCGCGATATAATTATATTTTACCGGCGAGATCCTATCAAATATGTATTAGAGCTGGCCCGCTGTCTACACATAGGCTATAGAGACATGATTTATTTACAATATTTTTGTTATTGTTTTATATTTTGATTGTTCTGGATTCAGTGTTTAAGCAAAATTATTATGAAACATTTATTTTAATAAGAAAAGGTTTAATATTTCATATCTCAAAAGAAGAAAAAACATGCAGATGTTGTTGTAAATTTTTCAGTAAATATTCAGTTTGGCCCATGATTTAGTCCTAGTTTTTAATTTTGGCACCCCTGACATACAAGATCAACAAAACCAGTTTAGACTCTTTAAACACTATCACACAGGCCAAGATTAAGGTCAACAAAAACTAGGTGTAAGAACAAAGAGGTCACGGTAATCTCACATAACATTAAACGTCTGACTAGGGCTGGGTATCATTAAGAAGTTGCCGATACGATACATACCTCGATACATAGAACACGATATAATACATATCTCGATACAGAGCACTTTCGATTTGATTCGACATATTTCAAAACGATTCGATACGGTTTAATAAAAAATAAAAGCTAAATCATGGCTGTGATACTAAAAGTCTGTTAAACCACTTCTTGTACAAAGTGAATATGAAAAAAAAGACCATTTTACTCTTCAAAACAGTGAAAATGTCAAATGTGTTGCATTTCTTCCACTAAACAAGCAACAAAACTGTCACTCTGTAACAAAATATTTGAATAAAATACACCAAAAAATACTCTTGGCGATATATCGATACAGCAGTCCATGATATCGATACTGTATCATCACATTAATTTGGATATTTTTGCACACCTCCTCATCTGACATTCCATTTTTGAACATCCTAAACTAGATAAAAGGTTACTGATGTAAAGATTTGCAGACATTTGTTTTTTTTTTAATTTCTGCTTAATGCTTATGTCTATTTCTTGACTCTACCACAAGATGGCGTTAAACTCTCACCTATAACCTCGCCTTTGCCTTTTGTCGATGGGAAACCTGTCCATAGTGTTATGTGGGCGCTTTTGCAAAAACCCAAGTTACACATCAACGCTTCTACTCCTGCTACTATCACCACCTCCGCTACTACAACCACTAGGCCCTGTCCGCTCCAAATGTACTCTTCATTCTTGGGTTTTCACGGCATGTCTCGAGTGTTTTAACCCCATTGTGTCTTGTCTTATTTTGTTCAGTTCTCAATTCCATAATAGGCAAGAAGCAGTTGATTGATATCGTTAAAAATACATTATGAAAACTGTCGTGGTGTGAACGTAAGCGCAGTAAGATGACCAATGGCACGCTTCAACAAAGGCGCTTGCAGTCGTGTTGAATTAACTACGACTGTCTGTGCCTTTCCTATATCCTCATGTACCGTTCATTCACAATGGGCTGAGATGTTATTACAGTTTAGATCACATCCAGGTCCACGCACGCGCCCCCCCCCAAACCCCGTGCGCGCGCCTGATGTTGAGCCGCTGATAGGTCTGTGCGAGCGCGCCGTGCCACTATTCCCGCGGTGCGCGCCAGCAGCGGAGGAGCTCCACTGTCAGAGACGCACTGAGAGGAGAGGGCTGTGGGCTTTCCTCCTCCGCGGCGTGGATTCTACACTCTCACGCCCACGTACGGCAGCAGGCTCCTCTTCTCCTCGAGCACAGTGGAGCCCCTGCACCGCCACGGCACCGCTCACCTCTCCATCTGCCCCCGCTGTCTGCTCCTTCCTCTCCCGCGGTTCGGCTGGTTGGAGTGAGGGCGGGAAGTCATGGTTCCAGCGCCGCCTTGAGAACTTTGCACCTGGGAGACGTGTTTGTCCTTCCCTCTTGTGTTTTTTTTTTCTTTCACCTCACTGGAATTTTGTGGAAATCTAGATGTTAATTATGTTCACATTCGCTGCCTTCTGCTACATGCTGTCTCTGGTCCTCTGCGTCTCCCTCATATTCTTTGCAATATGGCACGTAAGTACAGCACGGATTATTCTGATCATTCTCGATGGATTTGGGGTTCACATGCAAATTATGGGGGTATTCAGCCTACTGCCTTGATGCAAACTGGAATTTTGGTTGGCAGTGTTATAGGGAGCATTCATTTCACATAACAACAGGACTTGGGCTTTTTACCATTCCCATTTAAAAAAAAAAACGTGCCTGCTTTGTGGGTTCACGTAAATATTGGGGTGTTGACCTATTCTGTAGCCTATACTAACTCGTCTGCTACAGTACTCATTAGAATTGTTGCATATTGCTCAAAATGCATTGCATAGTCATTACATTTAGCCAAAGATTGGGTTTTTCAGGGGGGCACTGAAAATGGGGTGGCTGTTTTTATGCTAACTCAATGCTCAGTGCTATTTCAATGCTCTCATCTCTGCAGAAACAAGTGAGGTCTTGAGGAAGGTATAGCTGCTTATAGAAATGAAGTTGGTTATGAAAGGTGATGTGGTTAAATGGAGCAGAAGATCTGTTGTTTGGAAAAGGGCATTATCAAAATGAGACATGGTCATATCAGAAAATATACAACATCAAATGAATAGACTTGTAACTATTGTTGAGATTTAAGGGACCATGAAGTGCTCGATCATCAGTTTCCATTTTCTTGTTTGCCACTTTGTTGATTGCCTCAATTTGCTCTGACCTAATTTGATAGACACATGTCGTGCTAGATCAATAAAGCAACTTCCCCCTTCTGGACCAATTAGAAATTCTTGTTTAGTGATGTTGGATCTTTGATGCTGCTCTGCTCCCCGTGCGTTTAATCAGGTCTGGTGCCGATGAGTTCTGAAGTGTCAGGAGGATAATCATACTTCTTGGGAGTATCTCATTCACACCACTCTGTAAAGACACATCTGAGTCAGTGATGGGGTCATGATATTAAAATTTAATTCTGAAAAGTTTGATACTGATTTCAATACAGTGTTATAAAAAACTTCTTGTTTTTTTTCTAAAACTAATCAGGAAATGTCCAATTTTGTCCACTTTTGTGATTTTGTGAGTAATCATAATAATAACAGCCTTGCACTTTACAGGCTTGTTGAAGCCTCTCAAAGCACTACACTGTCATTATTCATTCACTCAATACTAAGATACAATTGGAGCCAGAGCTGCCCTGGGGAGACCGACAGAAGCAAGGCTGCCAGTCTAAACACTAGCTATCATTCACGCATACACCACTTTTTTACTAGACAGTGTGGGTATAGTATGGTTAAAAGCTCTGAAAAGTCGTTTTTGCATAATAGTTCTGTTTTAAAAGAGAAGAGATTACATGGACTATTACTTGTCACCTTTCAGCTTCGGTCAGGCTTTTACCATACATATAAAGATATACTGGTAGATCAATACACTCAACTGAGCATGATGATTTGGCATTGTTTTTATGTTAGATATTCTATTCCATGACAAAAATCTTTTTTGTGGCAGGCAAGCAAAAATTGTACACTGTCTTTTTTTAAGCAAAGAATGTCAATCTTGCACTAACTATCCATTGTCCAGGATGTAGCCCACCTGAGGCTCCAACCACCATCGACAGGTGAACTGAAATGAGACTCTAGTTTGAAAAAGATGAAGAAATGAGGACCGAAATAGGTCCTTTTGTCTTATTTACTCTCTGAGCCAAGAAGTGCATGTGTTCCTTGTTGCCCCGTGCAATTACTGCACTTCACTTCAGCAAAATTTGCTGTTGAAGTTAAATGAGTGCAGACAGAGAAACATGGTGAACTAAATTACCCCCTGTGAAGTCCTTTAACTTCACAATAAATTGGGGCACAAGCTCTTATATGGAAACCTTTATGTGACAAGGAATAGGAAGGGGATCCAGTCTAAAAGTTACAAAGTACAGTTGGCAAGATGATTTTGTTAACTGATCATCGTGATTATTCAGGTCACAATATATTTAGAGTAACATAATTTGAGAAGCAACATCAGGTGATTTCCATTTAATATTTTTTATTTTTTTCCCTCTGAATGTTTATTGTCACATACAAAATGAATGGTCATGTAGACAATGCAAATGAAAGGGAATTAGGAATTTCACTATTATTTGGAAATAATCCTAAAATCATGATGTTTCTTGTAACAATAAAACTTCATAATGGACATCCCTATTAGTGAGCAAAGTCTGCAGATAATTAGAAATGGTGAACCTGAGGTAATAGCAGAGAGGAAGCAACAGAACTTGGTTAAAGATATTTTTACAATTTCATGTTTAGTCGTGTGCTGTATATGTGTACTAACAAACACACAGGTCCCTCTCCCAAAGGGGACAGTAATGGGCTATTGTCTTACGTGAATGACTTCAAGACTCCTCACATCACCAGTGTGTGTCCCCAGTGGGTGGAAAATGCATGTATTGTTTTCAAACCTAAATGGCACCAGGGTTTGTGTTATTGATTGTTTTGTCAGAATCAGATGTTTCCTTGACATTGAAACCCCGTACCTTTAAACACATGTGCAAACAAGCTCTCTCAACTTTTGTGTGTTTCTGATAGGAAATATGATATGCTGTAGTGTTATTTGTGATCTTTAGTGATAATATCTCACATATGTAGATCACGAATTTACATTTTTTTATTGTAGACTACAATATTGGTCTAAAATGACTTAAAATAGACACATGTCCATTGATTTTCTGTTCAGAGCTGTAGAACTGATTCTCTACTGGTGGCCATAGTGAGATTCTGTGTGATGGTTCCTCTAACAATAATCTTGACACTGAAATTCAATATTGTGACATCCCTAGAACTGTGGTCAGGGATAGGGCGGAGGTGAACATAGGATTTTTCTGAACACAGTCTGAAATGCAGGGCAATACAGGATTACTCAAACATACATGAATCTTTTAAAACAAACAAATAAACCAAAAAAATTAAGCACATTATAAGGGAAAGCCAATATAAGATGGTTAAAAGATGGTTTAAGTAAATTTTGCACAATATGTCTCCTTTAACTGAATTCTTTTAGAAGTAATTGCTTAAAAATTGTTCAGTGCAGTTAAGGCAACTATTCAGGAACAATGGAAGAGCGTGTGCACCCAGGAGGCCTTAGAGCTATTGGATTTTGGTCACAGAGGTTTAGTCTGTGCATGTTTTTGGTTGATAGTGGATGGAAACTGGAGCACCAAGAGGACAAACACCCAGACAAATATAGAACATTCACACTACACACCGAAAACTCAGGATACCAGGAATGTCGTGATATTAAATTTGAATATTTTCTGTGGGTAGAAACATTACAGTATTTTGCGTATTCACACGAGCAACAGCTACATCCTTAATTTATTTTTATTCGCATTGACAAATAGATGATTCTAATATGTGATCTGCTTTATACAATCAAAATTTCTGAATGATTAAGTTAATGTGACTAAACTAATAATATAATAAGCACTTAACATTTACGTTTACTTTTTTAGGCTATAAATTGGAATAAAATTACTTAATATTACATCCAAAAATGTCTATTATATTGCAGTTGTTATGTTTACGTTTTATATTAAAGATCCTATATTGTGCAAAATTAGCTCTTGTGAGATTTAAGTCATGTTATAATGTTGTTACCGCCTCAAGAACATACCTTGTGTTTGAGTAACCCCTTATTATTAGTCTTGTCGACATCTTCAAAACTCAAAATGCTTTGCTCTACCTTGTGATGTCATGAAACAATAGTTTTAAAATTAACGGCAACCCTTTCTCCTTTTATTTAGTCCAAATTGGTGATTCCAGTTCTGAAATGATCCAAATGATTCGAGTGATGGTGTATGTTTAAAAACACGCTGGATCACTTCCTGCTTTACCACATGACATCACAAGGCAGAACAGAGTGTGTCAGTTTGAGAAAAGAATGAAACAAAACCCAACCCCAGATACAGTATGTTCTTGATGAGGAAACAACATTAACAAAGATCTGAAAATAGTAGCAATGTAATGATATCCAAATCTCTCGGTACAATATTATCATGATATGCATCTCACGGTACGATATTTATTGTGATGTTTTGAAGAGGCTGATATAATTGTAGATAGGATGCTTTTTTGCTTTTAAAATACCCTGACAAGATTTTGGTGTGAATCATTGCTGTCATGATCTCAAGAATTCAAGTAAAAAACATCTCTCTTCATGTTTGCACTGAAATGAATCATGGGATATGTAGTTTCCGATGTTTATTAGCTATTGCTACTATCAAACAATGTATTTAAGCAAATAAACTTGTAACTGATATATTGTGATGCCCCACGATATTTTGACTTTTGATGATACGATATCACGATAATTCAGTTAATGTTACATCACTAGAAAGTTCAATATTGTAATATGGGCCCTTTAAATAATCACAATTATCAATTAACCAAATAATCTTCACCCATCTCTACACTGGACCCTCTTGCTGTGAGCCGTATGTGCTTCTGCTGTTGACACTTTCTGGTGTTAATCCATCATCCTGCTGAACAGATTGGCGCAGACATTGGACTTACATCTAATGATTGCATTGTTAGTGCCTGTGGATTTAATTAGACTCTGGTATAATTTGGAGACAGCGCTGCTCAGCTCTTCTCCAACAGAAGGTATTGGAAGCAGAACCACCCTTCAGATATGCCTGTAATGTAAATTTAGCACTGACTGAGGAGCACAATGGGACACATAATTCTGTAGCTTCAGCAGCAATAATCCACCTCACGCCCGCCGTTATTGTGCTTTCTGCTTGAGATTGCAGAAACACGCACCGATTGCTCCTCCGCTCACTCCCTTTTTGAAGACGCCAGTGAGGAAGAAGCCAGCCCCCGAGCACGGTGAGCAAATGCAATTAGGCTGGAGCAGGAGGTGGGAGGAGAACCAAACCGAATCTGCAGCCGCCACCTGCCAATAGCGCCGTTCACTCCAGTTCAGCGCTCATGTCATCCAATGGGACAGCGCGGCTCGGATCACCTGCGCATTTGTTTTCATTTGGACTGACTGTGATATTGTTT